CACCCCATCACACACATATACACACACACACACACACACACACACACACTACCATCCCACCACCACCAACAGCAATAAAACAAACAAACAAACAAAAAACCATCAGAATGACTGTAGTTTAGTACCGTTCCTGAGTCCTCAAAGCCCACACCCACTGATTTTGCTGGTGTTTTACATATATTACCACACTCAGTCCTGTTTTGGCTATTTGTCCATTGGGTTGTATTGGCACGTTACCTATAGTTTACTTATTTGCCACAACTGAACCAAACTAAACCAAAAAGATCCACAAAGTTAACCTAAAATGTAAAGAATATTTGCTGGGGTTAGTGGTGCCCACCTTTAACCCCGGTTGGGGAGCTAGAAGTAGGCATACTTCTGTGAGTTGAAAGCCAGCTTGGCCTACAAAGTGAGTTCTAGGCTAACCTATGTCCTGAGAACCTGTTTCAAAAAACAAAACAAAGGGAAAAATTACTTGTAAGGCTAGGGTTATAGCTTATTGGCAAAGCACTTGCTACACAAGCATAATGCTCTAGGTTCTATCGTCAGTACTGCCAAAAATAATAATTAATAACTATTATTATAATTATATCAATGATAAGAAATAAACAAAAGTAAAGCTTATGTATATTTTGCTAAAGAATAGTGTCTGGTAAAAAGTAAACCTTACATGATGGGTTCCTACTAACATCTCTCATTGATGAGGTCACCAGGGCACAAGACCAGACCATGGGTGAAGACCTTGAAGATGTATCAGTGGCTCATACAGTGTTCTAATACTACGAAGTTTCTCTTTTTCACTCTAACTTCTGTTAAGCAAATAATGTGATCTTAAGGAACTTAAGTTTACTTCTGCCCCTTGGTTTCTCATTTGGAAAACAAAAGTAGGGAGGCCGATAACATTCATGGTTCTTTCTACTTCTAATATTACATACATTTTATTGTGAGCTTTGATGAACAGTGACCATGCCTGGTAAGGGGAAAATCTGTTTCCCTGAAAATGAACAAGATCTAACGTAATTGTACACAGCCATGCTGTGGATGTCCTAGGTTTAGTTCCTGTGCTGTTACAAACAAGCAAACAAACAAATACACAAAGTTTATGAAAGAATCATCTGGAAAACCGAGAGAAAACCTGAGTAAGTCCCAACAGGTTTGTTTGCTTTTAGGTACTTTTAGTTAACTTTAAAAAAAAAAATAAGTCACTGTTTCTGGAGGTCACATAGCCACCCAACACTAACTTGACTCATATAGCATGCTGGAGTATGATAGTAGCTGTTGTTTGGGGTAGGAAGCAGGACTGCAAAGCTGCTATGGTTGAAATCTCTAGCTGTGAAGGTGTCTGGTGGGTGACTGAAACTGTTAGTCGCTTTTCTTATTAATGTGGCAAAATATGTGACAAAAGTAACTTCAGGAAGGAAGGGTGTTATGGGGCCCCTAATGGAGGGTAGTGGAGAGGCATGGATGTGGGAGGAGCTCTAGCTGTGACCCTAGGAGCTGGGGCAGCTGTCCAGGCAGGAAGCTGAGGGAGCAGTGCTGGTGCTTAGCGCGCTAAACTTGTTAGCAGTTGGTGCTCCTGGAACACAGCCCTAGTTCTCCTACCGTGAGGAGTCTGGCTGATCCACTCAAACTGGCCTTTTATTCTCTTTGAGCTCAGGCAGGACTTGAACTAGTGCTCTTCCTGCTTCAGCCTTCCAAGTAGCAGGAATTACTGACTTGTGCCTTTTTTTCTTAGGAGTACAAGAAAACTTAGGTGTCACCAAAGTTTGACACTGGCAATTAGTAAGTCAGAAGACACAGCTGCTTTCCAAATGCTTAGTCATGCTTATGATGCCAAGGAGAAATACTTTAGGTATTGTTCTTCACGACGACTGCCTCTGCTGCAATAACTAATCAAGTTTTTATATTTGGCAATGATCAGTTCTTCTTACCCAACCCCCACTCTGTACCCCATCCCTAAGCTTGCTTTTTTTTTTTTTTTTAAGATTTTATTTATTTATTATGTACACAACATTCTGCTTCCATGCACATCAGAGGAGGGCACCAGATCTCATAACGGATGGTTTTAAGTCACTATGTGGTTGCTGGGAATTGAACTCAGGACCTCTGGAAGAGCAGTTGGTGCTCTTAACCTCTGGGCCATCTCTCCAGCCCCAAGCTTGCTTTTTTTTTTTTTTTTAATTTGTTTTGTTTGAATTCTATGACCCAAAAAGTAGCAGTAAAGAAAATTATTATTATTATTATTATTTTTATTATTATTATTATTATTATTGCTTTTAGTTATGTATAATTGTGTATGTCTGCTTGTGGCTATGTACACATGAAGGTAGAGGCTCTCAGCAACCAGAGATGTTGAATTCCTCGGAGGAGCTGGAGTTACAGAGGATTGTGAGCCACCATGTGGGTGCTGGGAATTGAGCTATGGTCCTTTAGAAAAACAGCAAATGCCAGGTGTTGGTGGCACAGGACTTTAATCCCAGCACTTGGGAGGCAGAGGTAGGTGCCTCTGTGAATTCGAAGCTGACCTGGTCTACAGAACAAGTTCCAGGATAGGCTCCCAAAGCTACACAGAGAAACCCTGTCTCAAGAGGGGGGTTGGGATTTGCAAATATTCTTAACCCCTATGCCATCTTTTTAAGATTCTAGACCACCCCGCTTTGGTTTTGTTTCTTTTTGTTTTTTGGTGAGACCCAGTCTCAAAAACAAACAAACAAGCTCTGATGGAGTAAAGAATTACCTTTTGATTTTGTAAGTTTTTGTGAGATTAGTTATCTTAAATTTAGCCGGGTGTTGGTGGTGCACGCCTTTAATCCCAGCACTCAAGAGGCAGAGGCAGGTGGATCTCTGTGAGTTCAACACCAGACTGGTCTACAACAGCTAGTTTCAGGACAGCCTCCAAAGCCACAGAGAAACCCTGTTTTGAAAAACAAAAACCAAACCAAAACAACAACAACAACAACAACAAAACAAAAAACCCAACAACAACAAAACAACAAACCTGTGCATTTTCAAATTATCTGGTATTTGCTTGAAAATGACATTCCCTGCCCCTCCCCCCCCTTTTTTTTTCAGATAAGCCTCATTGTGGCTCTGGCTGTCCAGAAACTTGCTATGTAGACTGATCTTGAACTCACAGACTTCCTCTATCTCTACCTGCACATCACTGGAATCAAAGCCAGGTAGACAGTTTTGATTACTATTATTTTTTTAACATGCTTTAAGTTGTGGCCTGAACTGTTAAAAGCAAGAAGCAATGGTTTTAACTCATGAAAATATCTGCTGTAGAACATTTTCCTCTTGAAATTTTATTCAAAACACTGGTTGAGATGAGATGTGATATGCATATGAAGAATTCTAAAATGCAGTGGTTTTGACAAAGAGAATAAAATGTGGGCTGTTCAGGGTTCCTTCCTGGCTCTTTATCCTGCTCTCACCCACACACATCCTTTTCTCTTTGGGCTCTTGGAATCCAACTGGCTGCTTACTGTTCTGATCTTTAGCGTTTTGAGACCTATATTTGTCAAGTGCTATGCCACTCAGTGATTCTGATTTTTCTCTACTGGCTCTCTCATCTGAGTCAGGCCAAGGGTCTGAGGGGTGCTCGTCTATGTCTTATGGGAGCAGAATTGGTGGGCAAGATAACAAGGAGGTGATGGCTTGAGGACATAGTAGGGCCTGGAACAAACTGTTCGCCTACGCATTCCTGTAAAATCAGCAAACATTTAATATCTATTATAGACCTCAGGGTACAAAAGTGAATGATGGGATAGCTTCCATTTCCAGGAACTGAACTCTTGTAGGTGAATTAGTGGGAAGAAAAGCCGGAATGGGAGGTGCCTGATTTCAATCTAGTTCTTTGCTGAGAAACACGTTGAACTTCTAGGCAAACGTTTGGGATCTGAAAAACAAAATATCCTCCCCCTCCCCCTCCCCCTCTACATATACACAGTTTGAGAACTACTAGGATTCTCAAACTAGAATAATCTAGGATTGTGCTATTGAACACAGACTCTCAACCCTTAGAGGGAATCCAGATTTCCTGAACCATCAGGTGGGGCTGGAGCTCAGGTAGTCTCCAACGCAGACAATTTGTATTTCTGTTATCAGATGATGCTCTACCGAGGCATCATAGCTACACTGTGAAAGGCGTATTTTTAAATGCTAAGGATTTCCAGGCTCCAATTTCAAACTCATTTAGTGGTATAGGGATGGAAGCTTGGCATTGGTAGTTCTTAGCCCTTAAATTTTAATGTGTCCAAGGCGGGGAACCAGTTGTTTGCCTTTACAGGCTGTGGTGGGCTCTCAGAAGTTACTACGAGACTGTAAATCCCACAAATTTCTTTAACTGTCGGAATGCTGCAGTGTTTATGAATACTAAATAAAGGCCGAGTGGTGGTGGCCCACGCCTTTAATCCCAGCACTTGATTAGCAGAGGCGGGCAGAGTTCAAGGCCAACCTGGTCTACAGAGTGAGTTCCAGGACAGCCTGAGAAACCCTATCTCAAAAAAAAAAAAAAACCCATATATATATATATATATATATATATATGTATATTTGATTACTATATATTTCTACAATTTCCTTCAAACTAATTTGGCTGCTTTATTTGAGGGGCTTTTCGGTTCAGTCCCTGCATATTTTCCAGCACCACGGTGGGTGGAAAGTTATGCTCAGGATTTAAAGCCTTAACAAAGTGGGGTCTTTTGGAACCCAACCTAAGCCCTCTTGAGGTACCCTTGCGTTTGCCTAACCCATGTAGTTGCAACAAGTGAGCTGGGCATGCTCAGTGGGCAGGGTCGGGTTGGGTGGGGGTGCAAGTGGGAAGCCTGTGGCTCCTGTAGCCAGGGCTCTCCGCCTCCCCCCACCTGTACGAGGGTTGGGCCCTACTGGGCCAGTGCTCAGCATCCCATCCCTGCTAACTAGGGTCACCGCGCTAACATTTAGGCCCGGGGTTAAGGGGCCTGGAGCGCCCGCAGAACGCGCTCGGGTAGCCGGGCCGAGAGCTGCAGGCCGAGTCCCCAGGGTCCCCCGACTCCTAGAAGCCTTTCTAGGCCCAGGGAAGCCAGGCGACTGAGCGGCACGGAGGGGGCGGGGGGACGACGCTGGATCGGGGCACGCGCGACGTGTGATCAGGTAAAGCAGCCCTGGCGGGCAGCGGGCGGGCGAGCGTCCTCCTCTCGGGCAGATGGCGGGGGTGGCCCGCATGGGGAGGGACAGGAACCCGACACCCCGCCGGCTTCCCTGGGCCTAGCTCAGACCTCTCATCTTCCCTCCAGCTGGCGAGGAGTGGCGCGGTATGGAGTCCCTCTTCCCGGCGCAGGGCAAGATCGCCCACTCCAGCCAGGGCCAGCTCATGTCCCCGCGAGGCCCAGAGCGCGGGTCTGCAGCCGTCTTTCCCCGCCCGCGGCGCGCACAGCAGCTGCACTTCCGCGTTCCCCTGCCGGGCCGAGGAGCCAGGGCCGCGGTGTCGCGGCGCACACGGTGGCGGAGCCGTGGGGTCATCCCCTGAGGAGGCGGAGGCGCACGAGGGGAGGAGGAAGTAGCCGGGAGGGGCGTCGGCGGGCGGGTCGGGTTACCGTGGCCCCGCCTGACCCGGTGACATCCCGGCGCGCTCGCTGCGAGCCCAGGGCCACTCTGGTTCTCGGCAAGGCCGACTCCGCCCTGGCTGGAGGATCCTGGCGCTCCTGCCTGCTGTCCCCTCGCGCGTGAGGACTGATCTCAGGTGTGTGCGTCCTGGGTGACCTGCTCTTCAGTCCCGGCTTCTAGGTGGAAGTGGTCCCTGCTCTCTGACTCTGTGGGGCTGAGGTGTGTCGGAGGTGGAGGTGGAGGTGGTGGTGGTGGTTGTGGTGGTGGCTGCGGCGGCGGGAAACTGGGGGAAACTTGAGAATTTGTTCTCCACAACCGAATCGGAGCCTTATTCTCTTTCAGGGCTGGAATACATTTGTAATACACTTTACCTAGCAACAGGCAGGGAGTCTGCACATCAGTGAAAGTTTAGGCAAACTTTTAACTTGTGAATGTGTCTAGAGTCTGGTGAGGAGGATTGCTGTTTTCTTTGTGGTGAGGGTCCGGAGACCCTTCTGGAAGAGGGAGTACTTCTCTGAGAAACTCAGTTGCCAGGGTGTGACTGGCCTAGGAGGAAATGCAAAGTGTACACCGGTAACAGCCTCCACTCTCCACAAAGCAACTGTTTCCAGCTAAAGAAAGTTTGCTGAGTACTGTGACTGTTAGGGTCTTAGCAGATGGTGGTACGTCCTTCACCCGGTGAGAAGATATATGTACCCTGAAACAGCCTTTCTCAACCAGCACAAGTTCTCCCAAAATCTCAGTGACAGGGTCATCCAAGTGACACAAAGCGTAAATGTCCCAGGAGGTTGCTACAGAAACAGCCTTGTTGGCTTGTACAAATAGGTGAGACAGGAAGCTGGTAAATTAATGTCCTCTTTGCTTAAAACAAAACTTTGCATTTTGCATATATACCAAAGTGTAGAGCCTTGGAGTCTGGTTTTTGAAGGTTGCAAGTTCTGGCGATGGACACTCGGAGACCAGGGACTTCTCGGTAGCTATTGATCAGCATATGAAGCCTGGATGCCATTGCCCAATGGATAGCATGTGCTGTCTCTGGGGCCTTAATGATGAGTGTGTTGAAACCTCCCCATGTTTCTCATAGGGACATTAGTCAAATGACCACACTTCCTTTATCTTAGCCATTTAACCCTTCACCTCAGTGAATAATGGACAAGAGATAGAATTTGAGATGAGACAGAATTGTTAGAACTCTGCAGTCACATCATCATTTTATGAAGTCATCCTAGGTAGCAGGGGAAGGTAATTGCCTGGTTCTCTGTTAGTTCCCATCGGCTGTTGTGTCTTCCCACTTAGTTCTTGTAACTAGTATCATTTATAGGCAATCAAAAAATTTGATGATCACTTTGGGGAGATATCACGTTGTCAAACTGATATACTTCTTACATTATCCTGCGTGGTTATTTATGTATCCAGCTCCAGGATGTAAGCTATGACTTGGGTATGGTGTGTCTTACACACTTTGAGATCTCTAGGACCTGGAATGGCGACTGACTTCTAATAAGATTCCACAAATGCTTCCTCAAGCAGTGACTAAACTGGAACAATGTATCTCAGGCTAAGAAACAGAAGGCTTTGGCTTTAGGGAACATACTCAAACTAAGTCTCCCTGGCAAAATATGGGTAATAACATATAGCAGGTCTGCAATCACTAGAAATATGCCCCAGAGGCAGTCAATTCTAAAATGTTAGTGTCCTTCCTCCTATTTTCTTTTTATATCGAAAAAGCAAACATTGGGAAAAGAATACAGCTAGGCAGATAATTTAGTTCTCATATAAACCATGATTATCCAGGGTTTTCCCCCTTTAGTTGGGGCAGCAGGAGGAGGGCTGTGGTTATTAGCAGAGGGAACAATTTCCAAACCATTATCTAATTTCTTTTCTATGTGTTGATGTTTTCTTAAACTTGATTCTTTCTGCACGCCCTTATGGGCGAGTCCCGGGTCCACCTGGTACCTGTCCCAGGGCGGGGCTAGGGTGTCTCCCTACATGTTGATGTTTTCTGAAACTTGATTCTTTCTGTTTAATGCATTGACTCCAACAGCTACCCCGAGTGCAGAAACCATATTTAAGAAAGCACCAGAAATGACATAGATGTTGCATTTGGCTTCTTAAAGGAAGTTTTGTGTAGTTGTGTGCAGGATTATGTAGCAATAAATATTAGATAAAGCCAAGTTACTGTTAACTGCTTTTGATACATGTGTGGAGTTTGTTTAGTGGGATAAAACATGCATTCAGATGCCACCCTACATCATTTTCATTGGCTACATATGTAACTATGGTCCCATAAAAATCTTGCCTAGTGAGGTGGAGACTATCTGACTTTATGCAAACTCTTGTGATGTTTCTCAGAATGACAGAATGCCTAATGAGAAATTTCTTGCAAGTTGTTTCTGACCCTACAGATGATCTTCAACTCTTTGGAGACAAGTTGGTGTTGAGGAGAGTACCAGTTGATAACGGGCTTAACACTGGCCAAAGACAAAAAAAAGACAATCATCATCATCATCAACATCATCATCATCATTTTAGGAAGTAGGACTGGTCCAGACTTTAGTCATGGAAACCCCCTGCTTTAGCCTCTCAAATACTAGGATTATCCACATATTTTGAAATAATGAATATAGGAGCTGGGTGTGGTGGTACACACATATAATGCCACCACTCAAGAGACTGGACAAGACAACCTTCCTTAAAACAAAGCAAGAGAAGAAGAAGCACAAATTCTCCCTGTTTCTGACCTAGCAAGTTCTAAGTTTGTTTTAAGTTCTAAGTTCTAAGATGCTTGGAATTTCTGGACTGAGTACACTTTTGTGCATTCATGGGATTACTAATCAGTTGTTAGATAGCTTCGGGCATGGGAGTTGGTTGCTGGAGGCTTTGCCGTTGAAATCAGGGTTGAGACTATGTCCCACTTTGCCTTCTAGGGAGGAGAAAGAGGCTAGAGATAATCATGAACAGTCAGTGGTCTGACCGTCCTTCTTACTTAATGGAGCCCTCATGTGAAGGGTGGAAGGGTGGAATGACTTGAGAGAGAGGGAAACTTCCTTGGCCCTGTTCCCATGCTGCACTGTGCACTTTAGTCCCTGTTCATCCATCTCTCTCTCTATATCTATATCTATATCTATATCTATATCTATATCTATATCTATATCTATCTATCTATCTATCTATATATATATATATATATATATATATTTTTTTTTTTTTTTTCAGATGAGACTCACTTTTGTAGCCTTGGCTGGCCTAGAACTTTCTATATAGGTTAGGTTGGTCTGGAATTTACAGAGATCTGTCTGCCTCTGCTGGGATCAAAGGCATGCATGCAACACCATGCTCAGCTCATTTTCATTCTTTATACTGTGTTTACAATAAGCTTTTTATAAATGAATTTCCCAGAATCTGAGTTATTATAACCTGTTACTAAACCTGAGAAGGGTTGGGGAATCCTTGATTGGTAGGCAAGTTGGCAGATGTGTTGGTAACCTGGGAAACCACTGTCTAAAGTGCCTTTGTGTGTATGTGTGGTTGTGTGTGTGTGTGTGTGTGTGTGTGTGTGTGTGTGTGTAGGGGGCAGTTTGTGAAACTGAACCCTTAATCTATGAGGGCTGTGCTATGCAGGTAGTTAAAAATTGTAGTACTTGTTAGTTGGTATAGGGGCAGTGTTCTTGTCCATCTGGAGTAACAATTTTACATTACTTGGAGCATCTTTTAGTTATTCGGGCAAACTTAAAACACTCATTTCTTTCTGAACATTGAGATACTGTAATAGTGTGGATATCTTTTGAGCAATTGACTTTAGACTTTTCAAGCTTTGTATTCTTCAGAGAGTGATGTATTGTGGGGACCACATATATAATTTTATGACTGTCAGGAAAGGGAGACCCCAAAACTGTACCAGAGAGGGCAGTTTCTGAAAATGAGATGTTTGGAAGCTGGAGCTGTCAGACAAGATTGCCTCTGCGTAAGGCTTGGTGACAGTGGAGAAACTTGTGCATTGCAAGTGGGAGTTATTTCCTTGTCCTTGCTAGTGGTCACTAGGGCCAAGTGGAAATTGTAGCTTCTTATATTCATGTGAGGAGGGAAAGTTATATTAAATGAAAAGAGCTTTGGAAACATTTGGCTAAGATTTTATACTGTTATATGTCAATACAACCAGTAAGCTTCTAAATGTATTTCAAAGTGACAGAAACAATAGTTTAGAGTACCGGGGTCTCCACAGTCCTTTTCCTTTGATTTAAAATGAGTAAATAAAGGATGTTATGCTTCATTGTAGTAAAGTCAGGAGTGCTTTTGATCATGCCCCTCTTTGCTCCACCCTTCCTGGGGTTCGCTTGTCCTGTGGGATCAAGTCTAAGCATTTGTTTGGGAGTTCAGGAAGCATCCAGTTTTGCTCCCAGATTCTGCCTCCCTTATTGGGTTGTCTCCAAGTTGGAGGAACTAGAATTCTTTAAACCTACTGTACTTCTACAGCTGCTTCTTGCCAGTGTTGTTCTTCAGTGTTGTTCTTTTTTAATTTTTTTTGACACAGGCATTCTCTTTGTAAT